GAAGACAACTTGACAAGATAACCTCTGTTAAATTAACTTGGTTTATTTGAGCGGTGTATTCCAACGTGGACATTAATGTATTGCCTTTCGATTCAACAAGTTAGAGGCAACTCCTGTAGAAAACACTTGATCTATTTGAGCGGTGTAAACTAATGGAAACATAAGTTTATCGATTACTGATGGGGTGGGGTTCTATACATATCAGATCGATGTCGGACGCTGGTTGTGTCATGCGTTGGTCAGTACCTACAAGTATTCAAAAATAATATCAACCTTTGTATTCTTCACAAATACTAATAACCTTTGTATTCTTCATAAATACTAATAACCTTTGTATTCTTCATAAATACTATTAACCTTTGTATTTTTGAAACATACACAGAAAAACATGGCTGTAAACAGAAAAATATAAAATGGTCTTGAAAAAACTCACTGTCGGTCGAGGCATGCAGCTTTTCCCGAGAGGAAATGCTAGAAACTGCACCATCTGCCTCTCATCTGCAAGTCAGAAAGTCTGCAACCTTCTGATTTCCCGTCAGATGTGCAAACTGCAAATTCCTATTTGGCCAAGGATTATTCTGAAAATATTCACACATAGGACATAGCCTGGCCCTGACGCCTCCTAAAATTTATGTATTTACAATAAAATATTTGCCTAAATGATTACAATTCCCGATTCCGAGATGCGTAGATTGGGATTTTTATATTTCTAAATAACTGGGGAGAGTACTCATCAGTACTGGTACCACTCAATACGAAGGTAAACGTTAAAATTTAAACGTTTATAAATATGGGTAAAAAAACTAGGAGAAAAAACCCCTTCTTTTCAAGTTGTTTAAACGGACACTGACATATTTCAATTGGACAACTTTGAACCTCCAGATTACGCACCCTCATTTTAAAAAACAACCATAGGGCTCCCGTGATATAAACGTTGAGCGTATCCGGTTGTTAAACGTTTATACACAAAACGTATTGTGTATAGCTTTTTAGCTTTTTTGTAAAAACCAAAGGGCATAGTCCCTTACCACTGTTATCAGTGATAAGTTATCAGTCTTATCACCTCTCCCCTTTGTCCTTCTTGAGATTTTACTGGCTTGTTGAAAAAAAAAACTTTAAATGTTCATCTATAAAAAAATTAAAAATAACTCCTATACGGCATCTTTACATGATACAGAAATCTAGCGATATTACTGGTCATCGTCATTCCTATATTTAGAGATCATCCTCCTCTTCGTTGCTCTAAAAACTTTTTATTGACCAATATAATTATGAGTCACAAAGCCATGTAAAGCACTATGGAATGTCGTGGTCGTGAAACTATGAATGTCGCTACGTACCATTGTGATACCGAATACTAAGTACAATTTCAAGTACATATCCCGGAGGAAAAATACAATATATAGCGCGAGCGCATTGTGCGTCTCATCCCAAGTTGTATCATCAGCACCTTACTATAACGTTGAAGCAACACCTAAAACACTACAACATATTAAGACACACACAAATCACCCAACCCAAACTAAAGCACCTACACTCAAACCAACCCCAATCCCAAACTGAAGCACCTACACTCAAACCAACCCCAATCCCAAACCATGCACAAACCCCGCACAAACCCCGCCACAATGAAACAGTTCACTCAGGCCGTGATGCTTAGTGCATTGGTCACTCTCGCGAATAGTCAACCAACAAATTCGGCTGTCGATGAGACCGCTGCAGCTGACACGGATGTGGGCAGCAGTACCTCCTTCCTACCCTGCAGCACGACTACCAATGTTACTGCAGAGGACGCTGATACTAGTCCCCGAGGCTACGTCAGGTATGGCATCGGGGTGTGTGTTACCTGGGGTTGATTATACTAAGGTTCGTGGGCGGGGGGGGGGGGGGGGATGTCATATATTGTAACAATGCACACTCTCCTCCCTCCTATTTTGACATATACGTCTATCGACTCCTACTCCAAACCTGAGCAGCGATTACAGCCAGACTTAAAAATAATTCACTACAAATCTGAATGATACACTTGTAATCGATACCTTAACTGATTGCACATAGACAACCATATTCACACCTACTACGATATGTGACTGACAGCAATACCTGCACTCCAATACATAAGCGATGCTCAGCACTATTACGTCGTCTGAAGATTTTACTACAGACCCGACTGTTGGTCCTACTTAGTAGCTACACTTACTACAAACAAAATACACGCATATACCCTCACCTACTATATATCATATCTATACATACTACCAATAAGATTAAACTTTTACACACACAATATAGCTTTACTGCCGACCATATTACCTTTACCCATATCCCAATGCTTAGCTATGCACTGTGTTACTACGCCGTCTGTGAGGTGGTTGAAGACAGCAATGAGCTGTGGCCTTGGAGTGACGAGAATAACACAGTGGGTACTGGTCGCTGTGGATGTATCGCCTGGCACGGCAGCAACTTGGTCGACATGTATGGTAAGAAGATTTCATATATA